ACCACCCCCCCCTGCCCGGGGGCCGCCAGTGCAGCCTGCGGTGGCTGCGCCTCGCTGCATCTCCCTGCAGAGGCTGAGCCTCCCGCAGCTCGCCCTGCCTGCTGCAGCCAGCAGCCTCTGCTCCTCACAGGGGCCCTAGAGAGCTGCCCCACAGCTCCCACAGCCCCACAGCACAGCCACAGCCTGGGCAAAGCGCTCACTGCCTCTGTGGGCCGCGCTCAGCCACAAGGGCAGCACCAGGCAGAGGGTGCCCCCCGCACTGCTGCTCCCACCTGCAGCAACGGGCGCCACGATACAACCCCAGGACCAGAGCACATGAGGCCACATGGAAAAAAACATATTGTCTTTCAGGGGCCTTCTTTGTAAATCACAAAACAGTAACTCTGCTATTAAAAAAAAAAAAAAAAAAGGAAAAGAAAAAGGCACCTTAAGAAAACACTTTCTTTTAATCCACCCAAGGAGATCAAGAGCAGCATCACAGCACTACACACGTCACAGAGGGCCGGCCGGACCGGAGCGCGGTGCTGCGCAGGTTCCTCCCCAGATTCACACTAGAGTTGTTCAGAAAAGAAAGAAAAAAAAAACGAAAAGGAAGGAGATTCACATAAGCCAAGTGACAAGTTACAAACCAGCCACACAACAGCTTCTTCTAAGACAAAAGGGACGTATTTAGGAAGAAGGTCCTCAACATACAGGTTTTGAAATTAAAAAATACCCCAATATGTTGAAACAGGTTTTTTTCCACATTAAAAACACTGATTTCTTTTTAAATTAATTTAAAATACACATCTGAAACACAAACACCAAACAAGTGAAGAGAAGAAGGAATGAAAGTGAGTTTGACCAGTTTAATTGAAACACCAAAGTTGGGTGGATTGCACCGAATGGAATAAATAATAGAGATGGCCCCGCTGGGTTTGTAGATCTCACACTTAGGATAATTTAAACTAGATTAACACTATAGCCGAAGAAAGTACTTAATGAGGAATTTCTTCAACGAGTGATTTTTTTTTTTAGCTGGCCAACATCCCTTTGACAGAAGGGGTGTATTTGCCCCTGCCACCCAACCCAACCGTCACTACTGAGGAGCGAGCAGGAGCTGCGTCTCGGCAGCGTGAGGACTCACTCCTGCAACTGCACATTCGCAAGCGGCTCCTTGCTTGGGGTGCAGGAATCCTCCGGCCTTGTTGCTACCAGACAGCTCTGAATGCCCAGTCCAACGTTAAAGCAAAACCAGACCCAGCCCACGCAAGCTGACAGCAACACCGGAGCATTTCCTGCGTCTCTGCGGCTTTCAGGCCCGGGATGGCTCCCCCAGCTGCGCTCCTCTTCCCTTCCCTCCCTGCGAGCAGGGCAGGGAGCGCAGCGAGACGACGGAGCCATCGGGGGCCAGGACAGAAGACGCAGCCAACCGTACGCCACTGTGACAACCGCTTTCTGCCTCTGGGCTGGGCAGGCGCAGAAGGAATGTTAGTGGTTTCTTTTTGTTTGGTTTCCCACATCCTACACCCCCATTATTTAAAAAAAAAAAAGAAAAAAAAAAAAAGGTTGATCCCAAGTTCCTCCCTCTCCTGCTCATAGCTGAGCAGTGAAGCACCACGGGACACTCAGGAGTCCCACTGACATGGTCCCTGCACGGCAGCCACCTCATCTCTGCACCTCACCTGGACGTGCCCGTGATACCTAGCCAGGAGGGAAATCCCTTTGCTTTAAAACAACAGTAATCACAGAAACACAGCACTGTCCTCCTCCCCTGCCTCTCATCTCCACAGAGGTCACCTAAGTCCAGCTCATCTTCGAGTGAGGGAGCAAGAAGGGGTGAAGGTTTCTGGGCCAAGGAACTTAGCCAGGTCTCACTCCCTGGGCGACGTGGGGCCTCCCTCGGTGAGCGCCCCACAACCCAGCACTGCTAAGGGGGCAAGTTCTTGGACTGCAGATAACCCCGGGGAAGGCAAGAGGGCTGAGACGGAGAGAGCTCAGGTTCTTTCCTTCCCATCTCTCTTCCCTGCCAAGGCTGGGAGGAGATCTCTGGGGTTGCAAGCCCAGTCTGTGCTTACTAGTGTCCTCAAGAATGACAGTTAAAAAAACAAAAACAAAAAAGATATGCAGAAGTAGGTATTGTCCTTGGGAGGAACGGGAGGGGGCTGGCTCCAGCTGGGGACAGAGAAGGGACCCTCTCCCTTCCCGCCTTGGCTCGTCTGGAGACCACGTCCCCTCGGCGTTCCCGTGCAAACCCTTTGTGCTGTTGCTCTGACACCAATCGACACGATGACGGACACGGGGATGGCCTCGGCGCGGCAGCAGGCGGGCAGGCGCACGTGGGCGGCCAGGGCTAGGCCCGGTGCTTCGGGAGCAGGTCCAGGAGGAACTCCGCGATGCCGATGAAGTAGACGACCTGCGCGATGCCAAAGAGCGGAGCGATGACCAGGGCTCGGCAGTACGCCCCTTTGAAGAAGGCCGAGGGCCCTTCCTTCTGCCAGATCTTCCTGCAAAGAGACAGCACCGGCAGCTCAGCATCCAGCCCACCCCTCGACACGTAGGTGAACCTCTGTATTTAGATACATTCATGAACAGGCAAGAGGCCTGCAGCAGGCAGCAGCAGAGGCTGAACACGAGATGTGCCGACCTGCTTCGTGCAGAGTCTTACTTGGTGCAGTCCAGGATTCCCGAGTACGTGTCCTCATTGACGCCTCTCTGCAAGGACTGCAGCCGCGTCTTGATCACTAGGGAGAGAGAGGCAGCGGTGAGCAGCAGGTCCGGCCTCCCACCACAGGCAGGGGCTGCTGGGCACCCTCTTCAGCAGGCGAGGGCCGCCTGGGAGCGATGCCTGGACATGCAGTCACATTGCCATCACCAGCAATGCAGACTGTTTCACATGGTTATCAGCGAAACAGGAAAGCAACCGATTTCTTTACAAATGGATAAAGAACACAACCACTCCAAACTAACCAATCTCTCTCTGACAACTCAATCAAGGCTTTGAGGCTGATCTAGCTTTAAGCACTTCCAAAAAGGCAGGTATCTTTGCACAGAGCAGACGCTGATTTTCAAATGCTAAAGCCTTTCCAGGAAAGCAGCTTGAATGATCTAAAATACAAATAATTGGTGCTGCTCCTGAACTTCTTCATACCTTGAAAGAGAAGCACAGGGACAAAGAAGTTACTTTCTTGGGGCTTTCACAGCAAGAACACCAAGTGGTGGTATTTAAGGCAGCTGCTGCAGAATAGAAAACCTAGCCACAGCTCTGAGGCTCCCCGAATTGTAGGTGAACTTTTGTGCATATGTAAACACTCCACATATGATCACTCCACACACCAACATGCCCTTTTTAGAGGTGTGTTCACAGCCATCCCTGGTGCCCGA